TAGTGCTGCTGGCATGTGTGCTGCTGGCTTTCTCACCTCAGCACATGCATCACACTTCAGCTCCTTCGCCGCCTTCACAGTCTCAGGCGACGCTCCAGCGATCAACAGTGCCTTGGCAAGCCTCAGAGGACTCCGATGGCCAGTGTTGACGTGCAAGCGCATCACTGCTTGTCTATGGGCTGAAGTGATTTCTCCTGCATCGCTCACATCCACATCGTCAATCACGTCATAGTCTTCCTCAAAGACGTTCGGCTTGATCTCGGCCACCTCCTCATTCTCATCGATGGTGTCCATGGCATTGATCTCGAAGACCTGGTCAAACAACTGGTTGCCGTCAGCCACGAACTGCTCCTCAAGGGCCTTCACAATCTCCCTGGCGAAGCGAGGAGGGTAGTGTCCAGCTGGTTCTGTGACACCTGAACCACCGATGACTGGCTCATGTTCATGGGTTCCATCACACACGAAGTTGCACATCCTCTGAGCCACAATCTCTGATGAAGTAAGTAGCCAAGTTCTCTTCCGATGAAGCCCACCTCGCGGACCACGAAGACCCAACATGCACTGGTCCACTTGACACAAAAATGTCCTGGGGTCTTGTGCCAGTGACTGCAACTCTTCACATTCCTGCCAGGCTGCTGATCTGCCCGGGTTCTCAATCAGAAAATGCCTGCCAGCATTCATCTGAAGTCTGGCTACCCTTACCGCAAAGCGCACCAAACGCCGATGTCGCCACCTTCTCCATCTGAGCAACTTGAACTGGTGCTCATCCTTCTTGCGGAGGTTCTGCAATGGCGACCATGGCCCACACGGAAAGGCCAAGATCTCGCAGTAGGGCTTCTCACCGTCGATTTCCTCCAAGGCGGCTTTCTGGGCTCGACCCAAGAAGAAGTCGTACCCGGTGGACAGACTCAGACTCTTCATGGTATGGTGTCCGCGAAGTTCAGCTTGTCGTTTCACCGGCTCTGTGTCAGTGAAGGTCTCACCCACCAAGGGTTGTGGTGCCCTCACATCCTGAATCAAAGGTTCTTCAGGAATTGCCAGCTCGCCGATGAAAACTTCTCTGTCTCCGGAGGTGATCTCGATGTTCTCTTCCAAGTGGAGGGTCTCCAGGACCTCAGCAACTTCACACTCCGAGATGTCCAAAGCGGAGGCCATCCTCCGTAGTTTCCGGAAGCCCTGATTAATAGTCAAACGCAATCCAGGCTTCAATTTCCTGAATTTCGATGATTTCACCTTCCCAATGCTCTTCCTCACGGCCTTTCGACACTCCATCGCCGTGACACAGCTCTCAGGACCTGGAAGGTCACTCCCCCACATCCAGTTCATGGGAAGAACTCTTCCTCGGCCTCCATGGGATAGCATAGGCGACTCGCTCCGCTCGTCTCGCTCAGCTGACCCCACTCGGAGCCTTCCGCTTCTACTTCCGCTCGAAGTTGAGCGATGCCGTCCTCGTCGAGACCATAGGGGGGCTCCTCCTCCTTGTCCAGGGCGTGGTACTGCGGAAGCTGCTGCAGAGGAAGGCGACCTTGAGTCTGGTACCCGGAAGTTCCGGAATTCCCTGCTGAAGCCTGTGCCAGACCTTTGATAGCCGGAACCGAGTTCTGTGCCATCTGTCGTTCCGTTTGAGTCTGTGGGACTAGTCTGGACAACCAAGACTTCTTGGATATCTCCGTCTCCTTCACTGGAGCGTTCGACTGATCGTTCGGGGCCTGAGTCCACTCGGCTGTGCCCATAAGAGCTTGAACGGGGCCGGTCAGCTTGGTCCTCAAGGTCGATACTGTGTCGTCGGCCGCCACCGTCACGTTGAGCAGAACGGCCGCCTTGATCAGCTCGTCCTTCAAGCGTGGCAAACCTCCACGAGGACCGATGAGGGCGCGAAGCTGCATGACCTTCTCCTCCTTCTTCAAGTCCTTCAGGCGAAGGGTCTCGTTCACCACGGCCTCCTGGATCTTCTTCTTGGACTTCTTCCCCATGAGGTTCTTGATCCCAAACTGAACTGCATCGTCCTCGATGAAGCCCATCATCAAACCCAGGCGCTGCCGCAGGTAGATGCATTCCTTCAGGTGCAGGAGGTTGTAGGCATCTTTCTTCACCGCTTCTTGATGCCACTTCAAAGGCCAAGTGCCTCGCTTCACCATGTCGTTCCCCTGCTCCAGCCAGCCTCGCTCCGAAGATATTGAAGGGAGCGGAAGAGGTAGGCCCCTCAGGAAGGGCCGCTGGACTATCCACAAGAGGAGACCCTTGAAACTCCACATCCTCTTGTGGTGAAGTCTGGTCACAATCCGGTTCCATCGCAAAGCGGCTCGCTGCAATGGCTTCAACAAGCCCGCCGACAGGGTAAGGGCAGAGTCCATCACTGTCAGCTTGAAGGCGAGGTGCCAAAAGCTCCGGCACGAAGTGTTCAATCACCTGTGTCTCATGGCCTGAACTGTCACCTGTCCAGGCTCGTTTCAACTTCTTCAACATCCACTGCATGCGAGTCTCCGACTGGACCTCACAGACCTTGCCTCTGCCTATAGCTATCCAAGGCTTCTCAGTCAAGGGAGGCCACTGACTCAAAGGTGTTGGCAAAAACGAGATCGACGAATGGCCAGCGTTCATGCGAGAAAGACGAACCCAGTGATCTGGAGCAAGAAGTTGGAATTGAACCCTGTTGGACAGAAAATCATGCAAAGCTCCAAGGGCGTCCAAAGCATCCTTGCCCACCAAACACCCAAGTGAGGGACATGGAACATTTGAAACCCACAGCAAAACCACTCGACCAGCGATGAGGAAAGGCAGTCGGATCCGTTCACTGCTTCGAAGAACTCCCCCATTCCCGAACCTGAATCGTTCACTCTCAGGCTCCTTCTTGACCAGAGATCTAATGTAGGGGGGGTGCATGTAGGAATGCTTCTTCTGCATGTTGAACCCACGAGGAGCCTGCACATGAACGATTGCAGGCTGAATCCAACGCAGCCAAGTACAGTTTGTCCGATGACAAAAGCTCCGGTGAGTTCTTGACGGACAGGACTTCTGCCAATCCAGTCACCACTACATTGCATTCATGGACTGGCTCTTGCTCGTCCACACTGAACAGGACATGAGGCTCGGCCAAAAAGTCCACAATGTTGGCTTCTGAGATCTGTGTTTCACTTGCTTGCTTGCTGCTGCCCTTCTTCAAAGCAGATTGCAGCTTGCCTGAACTCTTGCCCTGGCCTTTCGGTGCACCAGGACATTCAGGATCTCCCTTCCAGTGGCCGCGTTGGTTGCACACAAAGCAAACACCAGTCTTGTTCTTGCCAGTGCCTTTGCCCTTGCCACTGGGAGCTCCGGCTTGCGGTCCACGAAAACCACGGTCCTTTCTCATCGCTGCAATCTGACTCCTGGCCTCCCTCAAGGTGACCAGTGCTTCCACTGCTCCATCCAACTGCTCTTCAAGAGCATCTAGATCTTCACCACTGCACCCTTCTCGTGCAGCGGCTTCCAACTCCGCCGCCATGACCTCAATCTCTTCCTGTAGGGCCAAAAGCGGTTCTCCTTCAGCTCCAGGTTCAGGATCATCAGGTGTCACCTCCTGAACTTCATGCTCCTCAGAAGGTTCCATGCTGTGCTCATCCTCGAACTCCTGCTCCGTTACATTCACAGCGGATGCTCCCAAAGGCATTCGACTACCTCTGGACCAGGAAGACAACGTAGACGTCGAAGTTGAGCCAGAAGCCAAAGAAGACGTTGTAGATCCTCTTCGCCACTGTTGAAGTCTGCCTCCATGATCTTGTCGTTGAAGACCACCAAAAGGCTTTCTCTGGATGCTTGAGGTGTGAGCCAATGGGTTGCCCACTCCATGGATCCGCTTGAAGAGCCTCACTGACTCTCGCTCCACGTCAGCGTAGGCCTCAGTCATGCCAGACAAGGTCGTTTCCAGCATCTGCTTCTGCATTTCCGTCAGGTTGAGCTTCTGCTTGAAGAACCAGGCCACCTCGGCATCATCCAAGGTGATGTTCTCGGCCTTCATCTCAGCCACCAAGTTCCGGTAGCGGAGAGCGAAGTTCACCACCGACTCCACTGGGCCGCGCTTCATGTTCATGTAGTAGCGCTCGCGAAGCTCACCTTTCCGGTCAGAGACCGTGCGTCCCACCATGGAGTCCCAAGCGTCCAAGATCTTCTGGATTCCGGCATCATAGATTGCCGGACTCAGCGTCAGCTTCTCCCCATCATGGTCGGGGTCATCAACCTCTTCAGCTGGGGTGTAGACCAGTTCCTCAGGCTGGAACTCCAAGGCCCTCAGCTTTGCCGCTCCTCGCTGCTTCATGGCGAACCGAGCTGCCAGGTTGAAGTTCTTCGTCTTCTCCAGGTCTATGGAGGTGAGCCACCATTTCACCGTTCGGCGAAACTCCCTAAGGCTGTCAGCCCTTCCATCCCAAACAGGGATTGAAGAGTCAAAGCCACTCTCCGACCATCCACCGGCATAGCCATGCCCGCGGTCATCCTTCGTTGAGGATGCCATAGCCCTTCAAAACCTGCACCAAAACTTCTCGAAGGCGTTCTTCTCCAAAGGGCGTCGTTCTGGTCCTGGTCGTTGGTGTTGTCGTCCAAGTCCTGCTTGTCCAAGTCCTGCTTGTAGGCGAAGTTCTCCAAGGCGCAGAGTCTCGCAGGGGTCGAAATTGCTCGGAGGATCCCTGCGTGCGTGCTGCTGCTGCTGTTGTCGTGCCCTAGCCCCGAAGGGCTCCGCTACCACTGCGGAATCTAGGGGGGTTGCGACCGTCGTGGAAGCTCTCCTGCCTAGAAACCCTTTTACCACAGGCCATGCAGCTCAAGCGCTGTACAAGCATGAAACGGCAGCGGCGGATCTCAAGCCTGCCAAGCGAACATGCCGAAACCAATGGGGCTCAAATCTGTGAATCACAAACGGTATGATGGTTGGTTAGGCTAGTACAGGCCTCTCTTAACAACAAAAATAGTGATAGAGTTTTTTTGCTGACTGTTACTGGTCATGGGGACACACCCAACCCAGAACCCGATCAACAAGGCGCTGAAGTCGCTGCCCGACGCGGATGGTCATTGTCAACCACAGGTTTCAGGACCCACGAGCGTTTTACCCACGGTAAAGGGATTGCAGAAAAACACCTCCTCCAACCACATTGCGCATTCCCCTTACTGAATGCCTCAGGCGCCGAATGTTCCAGGCCAACGCGGAAAAGTCTCGACCGCCGAGCGGCATAGGTGTTGGCTCCCACGGCGGCCTGGACCTTGGGGGTGTTGAAATGAAGCACTCCCCCGTCCTCCGTGAACATGTTCACCTCCTCGATGCCTGCGAGCCGGAACGCGAGCCGGGCTCGCGTTCGCGAGCCGGGCGCGGAGGCCGCTGGGCAGCTGGGGCGAGAGAAAAAGATCCAGCTGGGCAGCTGGGCGGAATGACATAACCGTTTATCTGCCAGTGAAATGTAATACTTTAATACTATATACTATATCATATATTAATATATATATATACCTAATTATGCACACTATATATATTTTATGCAGGTTGGTATCCGGGGTGCCTCCCAAGAGCATGGAATGATCATATATTATGATCGTTCATAAAATGCAATTCATTAATTTTGAAGGTAGCCTAATGGATAGGCGGGCATTGAACTTCGTGAGAGCCCCACCAACCATGCAAAATGGAGGTATTGACCTTCATCAGAGGCATCCATGGGTTTAGATGAGTTTAGTAATTATGTTGCAATGATGTTTATTCATCGCTCACAAGACCTTTGCCAGCTCCATACTTCCAACCATTGTCCAACGCCCCACACCCGCCCGGAAGAAGGCGCCGCGTGCGTCTTTTGCTTCCAATGACCGTGTGCATCAGATCGGCGCGCATCCACCGCCGGCGGAAGGGCTGCTTTCGGGGGCGCTTGTTCTCGGCGAAGTCCTCGTAGCGCGACTCCATCGCGCGCTCAACGTCATGGATCAGCTTCCACTCGCTGGTGCGCTCCAGCTCAGTGAGGATGCTATACAGCGCCTAGCACAAAATGCCAAAGAAGTTGGATTGGGCATGGCTGGTTGGGCAGTTCGTAGTCTTGATTGACACAGCCACATCATTATCATAGCAGGTCAGGAGTCAGAAAAGCCACTTTCAACTCCTTGTGTCGCCTCCAACTCCTTGTACTGCAGTCGGTCCAGTACATCGCTCAACACCACTTCAAAGGCTTCAAAGACCTTGTCGTCCCGGCAGCCCAGCCGCGCCAAGGACCAACAAAAGCGCACGACTTGCCTGGGGGCGGATGGTTGCCCCGAAAGACGACTTGGCCCTGGGGCCTTTTGCCAATGCACCACAGAGGCCTTGTTATGGCCATATTGTATTTGTAGGTTTTCCCCGGGAAGCTTTGAGTCCAATTGCTGTTAAAAGAGTCATCACTTTGTTGAGTGAAGATGGATCCGTGTCATTCCATGTCCATCATCTATGTCCTCCAATCCTCCCAGTTGTGTAGACTGTTACTGTTAATTAACTTGTATATAACTATATATATGTATATATATATATATCTTATATAATATGTGTGCTGTGTGTGCATTTTGTTTCAACCCTCAGGCCTGAAGAGGCTTTATATACAATCCATGTCTGAGGGGCTTTGATTTATCAACACTTGATCTATGACCACGAAACAGTCAATTTGGATCCGCCCCCCTCTCCCCCTGGCCGGGGCATCAATGCGCAGGGCGCGGCCCGCAAGACCTTCACGGCCGCGCGCTCTGCGGCACGCAGCAGTGAGGTGGATCCACGGCCCGAGTGGATCCGCGCGAGGCCATAGATCAAGCCTCAGAGTCTTTCGGACGTCCGTCCGACCGACCGGTGCGTCGAAGGTGCTTTCGGTTTCGTCGGTTGGTCATGCTCCAGAAGAACGAAGAGGGGTCTTCCGCACCGATAGTTGGTGCATACACAGGATGATACATATACACCCTGGAAGACGATCCCATGGACCCTGAAAACCACTGGTTGGTAGAGGAAAACACTCTTCCAGGGAGCCATTGTCAGGGTCTATGTTAGTTTTCGGGAGTGTAATTTGGGAGGATGTAGGGCCAAGGATTGAACATATCAATATGGAAAACAACATCGATCCTGATCACCACCTAGAAGCGGTAGAGCGGCTCAGGGGGTAGCTGGGACACCTGGGGCGTCAAGTCCCTCGCAAGACCCACAGCCTCGTAGAGCAGCTCCTGACCAAGCAGGTCTTGGAGGGCTGGGAGGTGTTGGGGGGGACCTGCCTTGCTTACAGTACTTTTAAGACCTGTTGAGACAGAGGTTAGTAGTGAGGAAGGATCCATGACAGATTTAAAAGACTTCAACCTGGGTTCTTGGGCCCTTGAAGGCCCTCCCCTCAACTGAAATTCTCCAAAGGGATCCCCATGTCTCGCGTCCTTCGATGGGCTCGGCACCGCAGACGCGGCCCACACCGCCTCCGCCAACTGCGGAGCCTCCAGCTCCTGCCGCTGCTGGAGCACCAGCGGCCAAGCAAACACGGCACCCTGGCGGCAGCGGAGCTCGGCGAAGATCGTCAGAGCGCGGTGCGCCGTTGCGGCCTGGCCGGTCGCAGGGCCACAAGAAAGGCGTGTCAAGGCCTCCTCCACCTTCCGCAGGAAGGCACGGAGGTCGCCACCGCTGATGGGCATCTTGCGGAGCTCCTGCTGAACAGCAGGGTATAGTCGTTGGGTGTTTGGTGGAGTTGTTCCCACCCAACTGGTGCCGCTCATAGTTGTCAATCAAACCGGCAGCGATCTGAGAGTCCATACCTATAATAGACTCTAGGCACCACTCTAAACATCTCTAAACACTATGGCCCTAACCACTATCAACCAACTCAGCCCCGCCTTGAGGCGCCCCAAAAAGCAGTGCAAGTCAGCGTCGGTGAGGGGCAGCTGAGTCGCTGCTCCCACGCGCAGCACCTGCTGTCCATCCACACAGCGCATCAGCTCCGGTTCCAACAACGATGCCCGGGCAGCTTGCGCCGCGATGGGGCGGATCGCGATGCGGCTGAGCAAGCCAGTGCTCCGAAGCCATGGCATGCCAGGAGTCCGAAAAGGGTTGTTGTTAATGCCAATTGTTAAGTAAGTGGACCATGCTCACCCCGGGGCCTCACCCAAGACCATCCCAACATGGAACTGTGGTAGTGGGAAGCAACTGAGTTTCAGCATGATGCGATGTGGTCGCCTCATATACATTCCGATGGTGGTTGCCTTCGATGGAAGGCATGGGCGGTTGGCATACGGCATACCCATCTTCCAGATGCAGGGTCAACTCCTCCGAATCTGGTGGAGTTGTCAGATCTTGTTCTGCGGTGTTTGCGTGGCCCTAAGCAAGATGGATTTGAGAGAGCCGAGAACCCATGCGATCATTAAAGGATGTCATATCTACTGTAATCATCCACACGGCCAAGTTCAGCAGAACCATGGGCAGTGCTTTGATATTGATTAAATGGCTCCTCCTCAATCCTCTCTCCTTCCTAAAGTCCGAAGGTTCAGCTTGAGCCATGGCAAATCCATACATGCCACGCTTATATATAGTATTATGCATTGACTGACTCGGAAACTCTATTCTACCCTACCCTACACATCCTACACCCAAAAGCTAACCAAAGTTTCGTGGAAACAACTCAGTTTGTCGAGCACAATGGTCAAACCAAGACGGCCCTCTCTTCTTCTTCTTCTTCTTCTTCTTCTTCTTCTTCTTCTTCTTCTTCTTCTTCTTCTTCTTCCTCTTCCTCTTCCTCTTCCTCTTCCTCTTCCTCTTCTTCTTTTTCGTCCTCTTCTTTCACAATTGTGCAGATGTCCATGCGGAAAGCACGCCCGCAACGCGCAAACGCGCCCGCGCAACGGCTGACTGCGCCCGTGCCCTGCAGGCTGCGCCTGGGATGTTGTTGAGGCCCAAACGCTTCAGATGGGCTTGGAGCTGCTTCTCATCCGCAGAGCTGGCCTGATGCTTCACCATCTTTCGGCCTTGTGCACGAGGGATCAAGTGAGGGGCAGTCAGATTCGCACAGAATGTTCGTAGATTCATGGTCAGCCACTGATCATTACTATACACAAGAACATACAACAACAATCGTAACAATGTACCAAATGTGCTTGTGTTATCTAGGTTGGTGTGCTTGGTGTCCGATTATTTTCAATTCGACCATCATGAAGTGGTTGCACAGTTGCACCCTTCGGTGGCTCGCGATGAAAAACAAGTTCTCGACTCGTAGACTCTTGATAATTTAAACAACCCATTAATCCATTAAAATCACTATAGCGTCTAATACCAATCCATTTAGTCATTAGACTCTAATCTATGATTAACTGGAGATTTAAAAGAACTCCTACTGTACAAAATCATTTGGTCTTACAATCCAAATGACTGGTGTTTATTCATCAAGAGTCTCTTGGAACTCCAAACGCCCCTCGACCTTCACTCCCGCAAGGTCTGACGTCGCCCGCTCAGCTCATCCAACGATGACATGCACCGCCCCCGAAAGCGATGTCAGTGATGTGATGAATGTTTTGGAGGCCTGTGCCTATGGTCTACTCCCAACCATCCTCCAACTTTAGGACACATGGAATCAAAACTCACCCTTACTTAAGCCTCCCAAACCCAAAAACCAGCCTCCACTGCTCATCCAGCCATCTACAGCCCATCCAGTCACATCCCACTCCTCCCGTGGGTCCCGACGTCGGGTGGTTCCCTTGCCGCCAGTGCGGACGGCATCGAACTTCTGTGCCAACTTCGCCCGTGCTGCGAGCACCGCCTGACCCGCGGGCTCGCACCCGGCGAGAGCGAGTTCCGCCATGCGATCACGCCCAAGCGGACGGACGTTCGGTCGAAATCAAAGGGGTTTCACATGGGGTGTTGAATGGGTCAATGGTCTCAAGCATCGTAGTGAGCAAACATGAAACATCGCGCATTTGCCACCACTCCGGCCTCAGACTGGTTCATGATTCACAAATAGCCTCGCCTCAAGACACATGATGCAGAATTGGTCTTGGGAGACTGACACGGCTAGATTCCTTGCTCATGTCACATGTCACGGTTTTGATCGTCTTAGATTTGGCCTTTTGGTGGGGGCACGCGGCAGCGGGGAAGGTAGTGCTTTGAGAATAGATGACACAACCTTCCGTGTTGGACACGGCCAATTGCCCTGCCGTTGGCATCCAAGGAAATGATTCATGTCCCACCCCAAACCTCCAGTGGAGGCAAGTTCACATAAAACCATGCAGTTTGGGCCGTGTGCTTCCATCTGCACAATACCACATTATCAAAAACCGGATGCACCTTCTCTTGCCGGACCTGGCTTCCAAAAGCACATGTATAGGCCAGGAGTGCCATGTCGGGCCAAACTTGGAGAGTAGGGATGCCCCTGTCACATCCACTCCCTGGAAAAGATCTTTAACTTTAAACCACTGGAACTTCTGGTGCTACTCCTGGTATAGTTCATCTATGTTCACTTGCACCCCATGGCCACATCCAACCGAGTGGCCAGTGGCGCTGCAACAAAGGGTGCACTGAAAAGGCTGCGGGTGTTGGGCGCCAGGTTTTGAGCCGTGAAGCGATCCATCTGAATGTGGGAGAGACTGCCTGCACTTGGTGGTGCTGCCAGGAGCGCCCAATGCGGATGAAAGGCGTCCAAGTTCTCAAACGGATTTTGGTCCTCCTGAAGGGCCAGGACAAAACGGTATGGAGGTTCCTTGGTTCCTGGTCATGGCGAGCGCCGGCTGTTTTATCGGGCGTGCGGCGCAAAACCTCACATGGACCTAGTTAGGTAGCTTCTAGTTACTGTAGTTCAGTACCTCCTAAAAGCTGCACCCTGACCGCAATTGCACCAGCATTAAATTTGAAGAGTCCAACAAACATATCGGGTTAAGACGGTTAAGAGTCACGCATCTGGGCCCCCAACTGCCCCAGCTCCAACCATCCGCGCCCTTTCCTCGAACCGGGCGGATCTTCGGCCGCGGACGAGTGATGACGAGTGACTAGAACCGCCTCTCCAAAGACTCACACGCGTCCCATCCAAGGGCTTTCACCCAAACGTCCTGTAGCACATCATGTCAAACCCCATCAGCTGTTTTTGCTGGAACATCGAGGTTGTGACGAAACCAATCCCACAAGAGGTTTAAGTTAAAGTTTATCCACTGACGTGGTAGACAAACAAAATGCTTGGCTTCCCGTCTCACACCTGCCCTCATCTGCCTCACCTTCGGTAGGTTGGCGGGCTGTGGCCTGTGACCAGTTGCCACTACACCTCCAATCTTTGAATGCCACTTCGCTTCTAGTAGTGGTAACTGGATGCACTGCACAGGAGTTAGGCTTCCAAGCCCATGGCTGATTACCACATCCGCAGTGAAACTAGCCCTCTTGGCCCCTCGGCTGCCAAACACGCGCCAAGCTGTGCATGGTCCCAGTGCAAGTAGCTATGAAACCATGGGAACATGATATTGAATTTGTATCCAACATCTGCCCTTCCTGCCGTTCCGCTTCAAAAGAATCTAGAAAAAGGTGGTATCACGTCCTGTAGGCATGCCCCAGCAAGGTAACTCACGCGATAGCCCATCGCAAGAAAAAGCTAGCCGCTAGCCACAAAAAACATGCAAACAATTATGTGTATATATATATATATAGGCAAGGCCATTGGAGTGTTCAGGCCTTTTGTGGGCAAGGCTCACTAGCTAGGAACCCGTTTGGAGGGCCACACCAGCAGTTCGTGAGGTGACCCATTCTCAAAATCCATGGCAGATCATGGCTCAACCACATATATGGCACTTTCAAACAAATGTCCTTATTCTGGTTCTCATCGATCATGATTGTCCACAACCGAATCTATTCATACCAGCACAAGTTGTCCATACCAGTCCCTATCTTTTGGTTTGTTCAGGGTCCTCATCTCGAGCCTCAGCACCTCCAACTAGCAATGCGAGGTGGTGGAGTCATGACCTTCTTGCGCTTGCGCAATCCTACAACCTCCAGTGGCAGCTTTGGCCAAGGAGAATAAGCTATGAGCATGTTTGTGTGAGATCTCCTGCACCCAAAAGCCTGGGTGAGAAGAAGCATGCTCCAAATCAACCAGGTACGGCGAACGGTTACAGTATCTGTTTCTGCGTTAACGCCCAAACATAAACCATCTGGAGAACCTTGCGGATCTTCATATAAAGGTAGAAAGGTGTAAAATGTCGTGATTTCGGGCATGGTACTGCATGTGTTTAAGTCGTTCCCAGCCATTAACTTCCCTAAGTTCAAGAACACCATTGAGGCCAATGTCGTCGTTGCAAAAGCCCGCGAGCCAGACTAGCAACTAACTAACCAAGCAACCTACGAAATGGCACTTGCACCACAAAGCTTGGTAAGGAAACCATAGTGACTATAGAGAGAGAGAGAGAGTTATACGGTACGCAAAGGTGCCCCTGCCTGTGGCCTTCGGGCAGCATACTCCTATTGAATGCCCAAGCCCTTCCAACATATACAGCAGATGCACCAAATCATCGCACAATCAACCAAATATCCGCCAATGCCAATACCACCAGCTTCTTCTGTTTCCATGTGCTTCCATGCAAGAGTTCTGGTTGTGTGGCATGCTCCTCCCTTGGCCGTGGGACATGGCATGAGGGCCTCTCACAGCTTCTCATCAAAAAGAGGGACAATGCGCTCTCTTGCGCCGTCAAACCTCAGCCCAGGTGCTTCAAGGTGCTTAAGGAGAACGGATTCTATTTGGGAATTCGATTTTGTGTTGAGACTATTTTTGTGCAAGGATATCCAAGGAACAGGAAAGGAAATTGCAAGGTAGTCGGAACAAACACTCATGCAGGGGCGTGGCGCCTTGAAAGTCAGATTTTGTGGCACACGAAAAGGGTGAGTCGCGGGGAGGGCGCAGCGCTTCTCACGCAAAGACCACACAAATCGTGAAAGAAAAGGAAAAGAAAGCAAGCTTCTCTCGCTTCTCTGCTCGAAGTTTTGCCGTCGGATGTCCCCACGTTAGAATGGCTCTCCCCAATTCTAAAGTTTACCCTCGGGTTGGTTGTCCTTCTTTGTTTGCTCCTTCTTCCTTCCTTCCTTGACTTGGCTACCCACCTGGAAAACGACACATTATATCATACAAAAGACATGAAAAGACCTTGCCCTCCATCCGTTTCACCCTCCACCTGATCGACACGACAAAGCCGGCGAAAACCCGTGCAGGAAAAGGAAGCTGCGGGATCTGCCGCCTGGATCTGCCTTCATTGCTCGACTTGGTGTTTCAATGCCAATAACCGACTGACCCCTCTCAATGCTCCGGACTCCAGTCCAAATCCAACTCCGAAGCCGAAGCCTGCACGCACGCTGACCGGAGTCGTGGTTTTTCTCAACTGCTCCTGGTAGAAATGCCTTATGTTTGTTTGTTGAGCGGGGGGCCAGCCGTTGGTGGATGTACTGCACTCTGACTGGAAAGGAATTCGGTCATGCTGCTCATGTTCCAAGCCGAAACCCTAGAATGACCTCCCTGCAAAAAACACAAGCCATCCCACCCCCCCCACACTTTCCAGGCGTTTCGCGCCGGGGCGCCAATCCTCATGCTGCGCCTGCCAGGTCAGTAGCTCCATGCAGAGCAAGAAGCGCTGCGCCACGATCTCGTCCGCGAACACGAAGACCAGCTTCCGACATCTGCCGCACCCCGCATGCCCGCCGCGCTTTCGGCTCTTCAGGTCCCGAGAAGGTCTGCGTCAATTGGGGTGGAGATGGAGTTAGTTCCCCCGGCCGACAGATTGGGAGTTAGGAGCTGGTAGGGCTTAGCATGTGTGGATGGAAAGTGGACCAAGGCCCGATCTCGATTCGGTATAGACCACGACATGCCAACTTCGCGGTGTTCTATGGCTCTATGGTGCCAACCAAGTAGTCCAGGGTTATGCTTCTATGGTGTTCTTCACTTGCCACGCTTGTTCACAGCTGCGTCGACCGACGAAGTCACGACAAAGCCGCGACGAAGTCGGCCAAGAGGCATGAACTCGATGATGACGATGTGTTCCTCAGTGTTGCTGGTGGCACCCAGGTGCAGATTCTGGCCATGCGATCAGCAGATCAGCGATCAGTGCATATTTCACATCTCTATACACATGATCAAGGCCCAAAAGGTTCATACCAGTATATATAATAGGGGAACCTGTCACAGTTCTGTTGCAACCTCCAACCTCAGTGGGGGATCAACCCATTGGAGAAATTGCATTGTTGTGTAAGAATCTACCAAGGCCCCAACAACCGTGGCTGAAAGGAAAAGTGGAATCTTGTCAATCGGGAGCATCGACATGCGGAGGGTGAGGCCAACCTTAGCATGCCACTTGAAAACACTGTGCGCTCCCTGAAATAATCATCAATCAATAAGTGGAAAATGGCCGCTTGGACTTGGACGACCAGTTTCCTCTACCAACAGGTGGTTGTCCACTTCCATGAGAGTTTGCTGTAGGCACTCCAGAACCATATCCACAAAATCTCAAAAGCCTCTATACTGTACTGATGTCCTCTAGCACATCATCCGTGTCTAAACCCCCTCAGCTTCCCTCAAACAGTATAGGTTATTATCGATCTGTTTTTGTTTGCTGGGGACAGGTCGATGAACAGCATCCCCAAAAGAAGGCATCCAGTTGCTAAAGGTTATCTGCTTTGACTGAGTAGACCCGTAGGCTCCCGTGGTCTCTACATGTCTCTACGCCCGACCGACCGAAGACCGAACCAAACGGCTTCCGAACGGGCTCAAGCGGAGGTACCGTCTCAGGGAAGGAGTAGGAGGTCCGCGGGTGGCAGTCTGCGAGGTTGAACTGGTTGGCACGCTGCTTCCAAATTCCTAGGATGAGCTGGGGTTTGGCTGGGGCGGGGGGTGGTTTTGTGTTACTGCTAGAAAGCGGGTGACCAGGGGTGAAGCGACCACCGATGCGCAGATCAGCGACTTCCATTTTCCAGCCAAGTTGCTGTACATCTTCCTGGGCGGGCCAACTAGCAACTGCACGGCACTCTGCACGAAAAAAAGGGGGAGTGTGCTCCGGTGTCCGGAGTCTCAAACTCGCAGTCTCCGGAGTCAAACCACTCGTAGTCTCCGAATCGATGAGCCCTCCATGCAGCGTTGGGAATCAACGGTGGCTTCGTCCAAGGCTGTCCCAGTGGTGAGACGGACGGACCGTCCGTACCTTCGATCCGGTGAGGGTCCTGCCGGTCGGTCGGTTTAGCAGTGGACCCCCCCAATCTGTCTTGGACCTCGGCTGTGCCATCGATTTGGGGACATTCACGTTTGTGTCACACCAGCAGGGGTTTGTCTACGATCTGAAGATGTACTTCGGACAAGGTGCCAAAATGATCCAAAATGACTCTCCACTAAGCAACCGAACATCACCGGAAGTTCCATTTGGCACCTTCTACACGCTACATCACGCTACCCACCCCCCCGCCCTCACGCACGTTCCAAGCCCAAGACCCTCCCCCTTCGCTCGCCCGAGGGGCGTGATGTTCGCAAGCCTGAAGCCGAGGTATGGCTCCAGCCCACAACTCTAGCTCAGGAAGAGCGTGTAGCTCTCTAGACTCTACATGTCACCGGCTTAGGCATTTTTTTGGAGAAACACTGACACCAGTCTGCTCCTCACCACTGACTGGTGTGACGAAAGCAGGGAATGAGGGAATGAAATTGAATAGAGCGATTCCTTTGGATCCATTCCCCATTCCCATTCGAGTTGCAACATGGGCTCCCAGTTTTATCAGCTGCCCCAACAGTCGTGTGGTGGAGCATTTTCAGCTGGAGGGTGTCACCCGATCTTTTCATCTTGGACCCGATCTTCGCATGAAGAACCTGCCGGATTCGTGAAACCGAAGCATTTAGGAAACACCCAAACGACCGGTGTTGAAAACATCTGCTTTGAGGATGGGCCCAACACAAGTAGCCGCCCCTATTCGTTACTACAGAACACTCCTTCTTGTGTCCATGCTTTGAAGCAACCTCCCGATGTTCCCAAAAGCTGCTGTGAGAGACCAAAACTGTGTTAGAAACTCACACTTCGGGTCTACGTGAACTTGATGTCTTCTCAGGTCCATCTTCTTCCCCAGTTCTTCCACGCAACACCGTTCAACTCACGACCACGAGTCGCTTACACTCCTGAAACAAGCCTTGGAAGTGGAAAAATGCAAAATGCACCCATTTTAAGACAATGTTCCTCTACAAAAAGGGGGTTGTCTACTTCTGTGTTTGTTAGAGGGAGGATATCGATCAGCAGGATCAGCTACAGAACCACTAGACTCAACAAGTGAACTCAACGACTCTACGTTTTCCTCGCTCAACGGGTGTTTCGTCCCCAGTCCGGCCACCTCTGCTCTACACCTCTGTGCCGGGCGAGCGACGGAAATTCCGTGATGGAGTTGTCACTGCCATAGTCCACTTTCAGCGATCGGAAGTCCGACATCAGCTGGCAGTGCGTGTCCACGTACTCCTTCAGCGGCTTTTTTCGGGGGGGGTAGTGAAACATGTTCGAGGAAGGGGGGGAACCTGGGGAGACAACACCTTGTCTTCATCATGCGCTGAAGATTTCCACAGCGACTCTCACCGGCTCGGATCGAGCCGGAGCTGCACCTGCGTGGCCTTTTCGACTCTCTGTCCTGGTTGGCTGCCAGCTGTGTTAGCTGCAAACCTCCCAAGAGATCCAGCACGCTATCCTGGTAGATTTGCAACCTAGGTGCTGATCCGCCCGGTGCCGCCCGCGAGTCCCAAAACGAGTCCCGGGTGCTGGACACCCTTGGCCATCCTTGCCTGAAGAACATGCCCACTCTTACGCTGGCCCCAAGGAAAATGAAACACACAGAAACGATGTCCAACAAAGGTGTTGATATGAGATTCACCTTTCTGCTCCTTTCTTTCTGTTGAGCCGCTGCGCTGACCCCAACAGTTCGTCTGTGACACTGCCACTTCCGTGGCCTCCTTGGCAAAAATCGGTACCGGACCGCCATTGGATGGACATCCCCATCCGATGATGTCTGACTATACCTCGTGTCAAGCGACGAACGTGATCAATCCCGTGAAAGGACCTCAAACGCGGGGGAAGCTTGACGAGTGAGGGAGTTCTGCATGGCGCGGGTGCGGCGTGCGTGCGGCGTGCGTGCGATCCCTGACCTTTTCTCCGATCCGCCTGTGCGCAATCTCCGGTTCATAGATTCCTCTGTTCGGCGGCTCTATTCGGCTTGAGCAAGGAAGTGTGAGGGACTTGGAGGGGATCAGCTTGGACCTCGAGGTTCAAGGGGCATTTTCTGTGAACATGTTTCCTCTATAAAACTGGAGATTTTACTCTTGATCTCTTGATCTATGTCTAGAGCTACAAGATATATTTTATAGACGAGGAGTCTTTAAAGTTTAAAGCACTAACATCATCAACATCTAGCAATTTCACCACCCCTCCTAGCACGTCCATTTGCTGCTGCTTCGCTTCCCTCTCCAAGTCCCTCTCAGCTGCCCCTCATTCTGTAGCTCGGCCGCCCACTGCCGTTGCCATCAGGCCCACTGCCGGCCCCACTGGATCTTCCGGCACACGGACTGCACCATTGAGGAGAGGTTCCGACAGAAGCGGCCTTGCTCCTGGATGATTTCGTCCTAGGCGGTGACGTCGAGGGTCCGAGGTTTCTGGCTGTGAAACCGTGCGAAGAAAGGAGGAGCTTTCGGGAGCATTCACCCAACCAACCCAATATGTCGCTCGGAAGCTGGCACTTGACCACGACGAGCCTGGGTGGTTGCCTGCGAAAAACCTATGGCATTCTATGGCACTTTACGGGCCCAAGCTGTGCGACCAAAATCATGATGTGCCTGAAAACACCTGAAATTCTTAAGTCATGGTCGAAACCCAATACCGTATCTATCCGTACCTGCTAGCTGCTAGGTGAAGCCCTGAGCTGTGATCGCGCGACACGGCGTCACGGCCGAGTCCCGGCCGAGGCTCCACCTGTCGCAGGGCCTTCAAAGCGTCCCTGGGCGCCAACTGTAGCAAGCTGGCCTTGGCTCGTACGTCGATCTCCATGCCCGCCAAGCTTTGCAAACGGGCCAACTCATGTAGCACCTCCTGCCAGGGCTGCTTCAACTTCCGAGTGATGTCATTTGGATATCGGGAAGAATCATTCGAACCCATAAGACTCGGGAACCCAAACTGGCAAAATACATCGCGTGGAAGCCGATGTCGCTACGACCCTTGGAACTGGCGATGATGTTACGACAGGTCTGTGTGGGTGATTCACTGCGGGTTCCAAGAAATTGCTAAAACTTCAATCCAAGTTGCACTTTGGATGGATCCAAGGTACCGCATGATACCTCTCTGCAGCAGTTGCTACTAGTACTAGTGGTAATATACAATGTAATGTAATTACAAGCTATACTTCCTGAAGCTGCGGAAGAATATGCTTATACTTGCATCTACTTGTTATCTATATCTCACACCAAGGTTTATATTTGGTGCCCAGCCGGTTCAGTGGGGGATTTGATGCCGATCCTTTGGCGATGAGTTCGATCTTCTCCGTGTCGAGCCAGCCCCGCGCCTCTTCATCCTCCTGGCCTCGCTCCTGTGGATGAGCATCCGGCTCATAGAGTTTCTTGTAGAGGTCCTGCCATGCGGACCGTCTTTTGGCCAAAGGATGCGTAGAGGATTGGTGTTCAGTTCCCTGGGCCTGACCGCATCCAGCAAGATCTATGTCTCTTGCCTTTCTGTTCGATGAATCCACCACCAACATCACCAACTCTTCTCAGGTCGGACATGACCTGACACACCACCACCGGGACCGACCGACCTGGCGACCTGCCAAACGTCGCCTGCAGCAAGGTCTCGAGTGAGGTCGCGGTGGAGCGCGTCTGCGAGCCGGCCCTGGTGCTGGCGTTCGAGATGTAGTTCTCGTTGCGGCGCGTCTCGTCCTGAAACGCGGAAGCCGCGTGTTCAGGACACGAGGCGCGGAGGCGGGGAAGCGAGCGGGCGGGAGAGGCGTGAGCGGCAGTGGTGGAGGATGTGGAGGGGGAAATGGCTGGAAAAAGACTCTCTGAACCGACCACTGCAAACTTCTGAGCTGACCAACGCGAGGCAGCAGGGTCGGCAGCTCACTTCCAAATGATATTGGTTTTTGTATGTTTTTGTCTTGCCGGACGCACTGTGGACAGTGACTGTGGGGCTGGCAATGTCCCTGAATCAAATCGCACCTCACATGTGAGAAACAACTGTCACTATGTTGAATCTTCATTGATAGCCCCCAAACGATTCAATTTCACGATGTCTGACAATCTCCTGACATGTTTTCAGACTGCTATAGATTGACAGGGGCCAGCACCTATTGGGATTCCAACCGCAGCTTGGTGTGGCCATGCGGCACATGCAGCGGAGCCCTCCTGGAAGCCTCTCACCAATTGCTCAACTTCTGTCTGTGGGACTGCGTACAACTCCTTGGACGCCAACGCTGCCAATGCTCCCTACCACAAGAAGGGGAATGCAAAGAGATCATGCCAGGACGATCGTTTCCAATGCACTTGACTTATAGATGATGATAGAAACAGGAACCGGGAATTCGGAATTCGTGGTTGATGAGCAACTGCTCTGTGGCTTGTGAGTTGCCAAGGTTTGTTCTGGATAAGCAAACCTCTTTTTGTGGAACTTGTTCGTACCATTTGTGGAGATGACTCTGGCTGTGGCATCGGTAATTGACGTGCCCGGCAACGGAGGTGTTACTATCGGTAGGTCGGGCAACCGTTCTGCTCTATTCTGCCCAGCCGACAAAGTGGCGTGCTTTCAGGAGAAATATGGATAAACCCCTTCAACCTGCCTCCGGGGTTGGCGGTTTGACTCGTCCGGCTGAGCTCAGAGCTAAAATCTGCTGCTTGGCCCGCACCTAGCGCTGCCCGGCTTCGACGCGAGAGGGCGGGCAGGAGCCTCTCTAAGCTCCAAGCTGTGGATGCAAGAAGGGATGTCACGTGATCAAACGTAGGTGTCTGATGGTGTCTGAAGAGCGGAAGGGGATATCAACCAGGTGCCATGGTCCACACAGAGTTCATGCACAAGCGCGGGAGAAACCGTGTTCCTATGAGTTCCCCGCATGCTTGGGGGAACCCATGTTCATCCTCTGATGTAGAACTAGATCTGTCTTCAGGACATGCACCAACTTGATACAAGTCAACTTGCAGGACATACATTGCAGCATACACTGTCTGTCTACTAGTTACTAGTTGCCACGACTCCCTGATCATCAGCTACATGCCCTGCCGGGGAAGCCAATATATAGTAGATCATAGTAGGTTCCCCAAAAAGAAAGTTGCTTCCAAAAAGTGCAGGCATGTTGAGGTGCATCATACATAGTGAGTCTCCACCACTGTTGCTCCTCCATCTCACTTACACCAAGCAGTCTCCACCAACCTCCACTCCACCGCTGCTCCCAGGAAGCAGCCCCTGCTGCTCGCCTCGATCCTCCGTCGCTGTTGCTCAGCCTCCACCAGCGCCGCCAGGCGTTGATTCTCCGACTGCAAGCGAGCCTCGGTCGGACGCGGCCCCCTGGAGCGCACCTGGAGCACCCGAGAGGGGAGGTGTGTTGGAAAGCCTCAAAAGAGAAGGTGCGTTTGGGATCATGGACGCCAAACAGTGGGAGGGCGATGGATCTGTGTAAGAAGTGCATCTTTACTGCCCCAAATAGCTTGGCCCCAAAATCGGTCAGGAACCTCCAACATCTGATCCATTCTGGTCCCCCGTCTTCATCCATCTTCCCCTCCTCCCACCTGGCCAAGCCACAATCTTGGCCTCCAACTCTGCCCTGGCGGTCGTTTGTGGGCGAACCTCCCCACCGGTGCCGGCGCTCGTCTCCGCCGCACTGCCGGTGCCCTCCGCCGCGCTCGCCGCGTCCGCCACCGTGCTCGGTGGCCCGGCGGCCGCCGCGGCCGCGAGCGCGGCCGCGCTGGGCACGGGCTGCGCGTGGACCCCGACGGGGCTCATGGGGACGAAGAAGGTCACGTTGCCGCAGGGCCACTGTTCTGACCAGGCGGTGTTCTCCCAACCCCACTGGCCATCCCAGCACATGCTTCCATCATAGCCATAGCCCATGCTGTCTGCCATGGTCACGGCCGGTCCGATTGAAACAGTGGTGTTCAAAAGTCTCGAGATACAAGTTGCGATGACATCTCTATATGTTCCCTTTCTGCAACGTTCTGTCCAATTGAAATCTGCGCGAGGAAAACCAACTTTTTCGGCATCATACCCCCAATTGTTCCATGTGTCGCAGAACTTCAATGCGCATAGCCCGCAAAAACGGATGTGGACACAGCTCCTGAAACAGCTGCGAGCATCTGATGGTTCTCAAAGTTGGTCAGCCACATTGGTCAGTGCTACCACTTACCACTTGCTTCTGATACTCCTGCACCCAGTGGGTATACTGAATTCATGTGGAAAACATTGGAAAACAGGACAATGTGTTGCTTGGGTTCCGCTCGTGCTTCCATGAAACAAAGAAGCTCTGTGACATCGCGGTCAAAGACTCCTGATCAGATCCTTCTTTGGGCAACAGAGTGTGCCCCGGGCGGGTGGAACAGTTCCAGTTCCAGTTCCAGTTCCACGTCGTCCAACACAGGAGACTGGGGAGGGGGCAGGGGAGTTCCAGTTCCAGTTCCACGTCGTCCAACACGGGAGACGGGGGAGGGGCAGGGGAGTTCCAGTTCCAGTTCCAGTCAGTTTAGCGTCGACAGTTCCAGTTGGAGTTCCAGTTCCAGTTCTGGGCCCGGGTCTGGACGTGATTGCCAACGTCAGTTTAGCGTCGATGTTTTTTTCCGGGAGGGGGTGGAGTTCCAGTTCCACTTCCAGTTCCAGTTCTGGGCCCGGGTCTGGACGTGATTGCCAACGTCAGTTTAGCGTCGATGTTTTTTTGGGGGGGGGGGGTGGAGTTCCAGTTCCACTTCCACTTCCAGTTCCTCTTCCAGTTCCAATTCTGGGTCCGAGTCTGGACGTGAGGACCAATGTCACTTTAGTGTCGATTGTATTTTTTTGCGGGGGGGGGGGTCCAGTTCGAGTTCCAGTTCCAGCGGGGTACACTATGTTGGGCAACGAGTCTGGTGGATCCTCCTTGCAATGGGATGAAATGCCTCGGAGTTCTTGGCTCAATTTTGGACATGCCTTGAGGCCCTTCATACCAAAATCATGCAACCAGCTTAGACCCGGGTCTTGCAAGCCTGGTGCTTGATGGGCTCACCCTGCAGAAGGGCCTACCAATGGAATTCAGAAAGACTCGACAGACGGCTCCACTCTGTCACCTCAAAGCTCGACCAAGACGGGAAGCATGGAGACCCCCGTGAATCAGACGGAAGGCTTGCTATGGTCGATGGGGGATCTAGTCAGGGAATGCGGTCCCTCAATGGTTTTGGGACATGCCCCCTTTGGCGGGCGACTGCCTACTATGCCATTGCCCATCATTGCCACTACCTCACGACTTCCTGGCCAAGCAGCAAAGCGGCTTTTCTCCTTGGGTGGAAGAATCTGACCAAGGCCACCCCATAAATGACCACATGGACCGCTAAAGTGGGCCCTGTGGTCACGGTGCATGTTGGAGGCAGGTGATCTAAGACATGTTCTGCAACAATTGGGGCAGGCAGGAGACAAAGGAAGGCACATCATCTGTGTTGGTGACCAGTGCATTTGGTGACCAGTGTACCGGGTGAATGCTTGGCATCACATCATCTACGGTCTCGGGCCTCCACCTAGAGGAGAGAGTCGTTCACTGAATTTCTTTAAATTCCGTGGCATCCCGGTCCTTGCAGTCTCCAACAAAGTGATCCGAGTCGCAGGTACCATCTTGATCATCCTTCAGCCGAACTGTGGCCTAATCCGCACCTAGGACCTAGAATCACTTAAGCAGCCTTGGTCTGTCATCGCCGCAAGCCAGAGGATATTGAAGCTTATTGTGCGTATAGCGCCTGGTTCCCCAAAAAAGATCTTGTGATGAAGTTTGACTACAACAGGGGGCTCGTGGCTTGAAAGAAGCAGGTGGCCGACCATGTTTTAAGCACCACCAACATCGTAACAAGGAAGTCTTGGAACGCAATGTTCTTTGATACTCACGATATATATATATATAAATATATAGCTCTACAAATCTCTACAATACAGATTTATACGGATTTACTCATATAAGAGAAACCACGCATCAATTGTCCAATGCACCGACCAGGGATCTCTCTCTCTCTCTCACCATCCCAAATTAGGGCTTTAGCACAGCTGTCCGCACTTCGGGAACCTCCCCGCACCCGTTGCTGTTCGCCGTTCCGGTCCGCCGGCCCGACTTCTGCCCGGCGTCTCTTCTTCTCCCAGCTCGTTGTCCGACACCACGCCTCCGCGAGCTCGGTGGCGGCGCGGCGCCCCGCGGGCACGCGGGGCAGCATTCACAGCGTGGAGGAAAAAATGCACGAAAAACTGTGTTTGCTGGTCTTCTGTACTGGTCTAGGCGCAACTGGAACAAATCCACCACCAAAGCAGTGCCTTTCAGGGAAGGTGCGACAATTGTTCTACACCACCTGGCGCTAGGATGTCCTCTTCCAAGGTATTTTTTGTGAAAGCATTCCGCATGAGATGGGGTTTGGGTGGCCGAAACACCTTCGCCCGATTCGCCGTTGATGCCTCCCTCAGGCGTATCAGCTCAGAGTTCACAGACTTCGAAGACTATGGAGCCTATTCTGGTTGATTAATCCCAAAATCCCTGTATGCTCACCAGCTACCCAACAGGAACCATGACGTATATACTTATTATATACCGTGCTAGCTGCTAGCTGCTAGCTGCTAGCTTGATCCTTCAAAGTTCGTTGCTTTGCTTTGCACCTTCGCCAGGCACCAAGGAAGAGTGGTTTTCTTGCTGCCGAGGTGCCATGCATGGTGAACCACTGCATGCGAGGTGTGGGAATTTGCTCCCTGGAGCGGCAGGCCCAAGGCAGGTCGAAATCCACCCAAATTGATTTCGTTTTCGGACTTCTTGAGATCGAGCGGCTGGTTCTTTACGGAACGAGATCCGCTCCCACAAGACCCGCAAGACCTGGCACAAGTCCTATAAAGCCCCGTGCTCCCAAACCAACGAAAACGGATGAAGATTTTGTCCGGAATTTGTTTTCAGGCCGTTTCCAGACCGGGAATTCTTTTCACGTCTACTGCTTTTGCTTTTGCTTCTGCTGGGAGTGCCCCAGAGACAACCGCAAAGAAGTCCTTATAGTAAGTGGGATACCTTTTCTGTTCCCTCCCTTTGTCACTGTCTCGCTCTCTCCGTCACGCTGGCTTTGGTGCTTCGTCCCCTGCCCTTTCTGCTGCTCCTAGTGCTTGTAAAGCACTCCCAGCAGAAGCAAAAGCAAAAAGCAAAAGCAACACCAGTACGGGAAAAAATGTGAAGCACAAGAATATAGCAAAAGCAGAAGCAAAAGCAAAGGCAGAAGCAAAAAGCAAAAGCAGAAGGAAAAGCAAAAAGCAAAAGCAAAAAGCAAAAGCAGATGCAGAAGCAAAAGCAAAAAGCAAAAAGTTGAAGCAAAAGCAGAAGCAGAAGCAAAAAGCGAAAGCAGTAGGGAAAAAAACGCGAAAAACAAATCCGGGGAAAAAAAAAAGAAACAAATTCCCAGAGAAATACCGGCTTCAATGAAAACCTGACCCACAATAGTGGCAGTACCCAGTACGTGACCTAGAAAGGTATGAGAAAGCTATTGAGCACCGTTTTATCCATGTTCATCCTTTGTTATTCATGGCATGGGCATCCACACTGCTACTGAGAAGCTCCCTCCAGCAAATGAAGGCAGAGAACTGGTGCATTTGCGTTGGGCTTCAGGCCCTTCAGGCCTTCTGGGGATTCCCGAAGCTGTCTTTGAAAACCAGCTGCGGGATCCATCCCCCAAACCCCAAACCCCACACCTACCAGCAGCCTCCTAAAACCAAAATCACCACGTACCATCGCTTTTTGGATGAGACCGCCAAAACCGCCCGCTCTGCTCTCCGCTCCGCCTCAGCTGTTGTCGTCCCGGTCGCGGACCCGGCTCGGCGCGGTCGACGGCCCGGCTGGGCGTCACCGGCATGTCCTGAGCGGTCGCGGTCCGCGGCCGCGGACCGGTCAGCTCAAGTCGGGCATCCAGGACGTTGATAGGTACTGATCTTCTACGGAAAAAAACAATCTGCAGAGTGGAAGATGGATGGAAAATGACCCAACTATGCTGCTTACCATCCCCTTTCGATGTGCCTAGGCCATGCCATAACATACCACCTCTAAATCCATCTCTCGGTCCTCCCGCGAGAAGGAGGAAAAAAACCCGCCCGCTCCGTTCCAACACCCACCCGCCACCGAGCCGCAAAGGGGTCGGCGACCACGAAGCGCGGCGAGCCACCAGGCACCACCGAGTCGGTGGAGAGTTGGACGATGTGAAGGTTTTCCGTGGTTTCCTCCTTGCAGCCCTAGGGCTCCAACCACCTCCTGAGAAGGTGGTTGGGGTGGGTTTTGGGGGTCTAACCACCTTCTGAGGATATGGTTGGAGCCCTAGGGCAGGATCGTGCCCCAACGCATCGCGCCCCAAGCGCCCAAAGCGCCCATCGATGGTTCGGCGGCGCAGGGAGCTGCGAGGCGAACCATCCCAGTGGATGGGTGGCAAAAGGACCCCCCAAACGAAACGCACGCGGGAAGCGTGCGGGTGCATAATATGTTTCTCCAACATCGGGTCTGGTTTTGGAGCGGGGCAAGGGGAAAAGCACGATCTCAGTTGGTACCGGATTTCTTCAAATAGGATGCACGGCAAAGATTTCTTCAAACAGTCTGCTCAGCCGAGGGACAGGCATGCACAGGTTGAAGGAAGAAAGGAACGGACCAAGTCGTGGACATGCCAGACACAGAGAAGAAAACAACTATATACCATTGCAAAGAGAGAAATTAGTTGTTTGGATGAATGGATCTTTCAAGCATCCCAGCAAATTTCTCAGAGATGAGGAATGGAACGAAACTAATGAAACCATCGGTTTTTGCAGAGTCAAAATATGTCAAAATGGGTGCCTCACTGTCTGTTGGTCATCATGGTCATCAACGTGGTTCACAACTTGAGATCCATTCTGCAAAAAGGGCGCAGTAACCTTTTGAGCTTACAATATCAGCACTACTATGTTAAGTAACATGTTGATTCTTAATCAGGGTATCAGGGCCTTGCCAAAACCAACTGCACACGTGTTCCACCTCTTCATCTGCCAGCTCTCCCTCTCTCTTCACCGTCTATCGTTCAACGGAGCTGCGACACCTGCTGCACATCCTCAGACTTGAACAGCCCCATCTTCAGACCACCGTGATGACCAGACCAACCTCGACCTTCCATCCCCCAGGTCACCCAAGCCCAGGCACCCAGCAGCAGCATGGCATGATGCCCAGTGCATTGGACAAACTCCGGACCCAGCTCATGGCTCGCCCTCTGCTCGATGCACAGATGCGCGCTTTGGCTTCGGCTGGCTTTTCAACGGCGTACCCGGCCGGGACCCGCTCGGAGGGTGGTGGTTGCGGTGGTCTGTCGTGGCCCTTCACCATGCAGAAAGTCACAGGAATGTGTCAATCAATCATGTACGCGCGGGTCTGCTATGAAAGATGCCACAAACGTTCTACATGTTCCTTCTGCTCCTCTCTCTCTCTCTCTCTTTCTCTTTCCTCCTGAAGTCTGTAGTCAGACCCGTCAGACCCTGATCAGAATCGATGAGAACTCCTGCCAATCCGTTTCTTCATGTCTTTCAGCCCCAAAGGTGCCAAGTTTGCTGAATCATGGCGGCGGTACTATCCTACCATCCTCGGGGCCAAGAAGGGGCAGCGGCTGAAGCAGTGGCTGAAGCGGAGCTTGCCTGCGGCTGTGCTATCACACCATGGAAACGCCCTGCACCCTGCACCCTGCGGCACCCCGCAAACCCAAGGAACACACAAAAGTCACAAAGCAGTAGCATTGAAAAAATTTGATCTTTAAAGGCAGCTTGCTCTCTGACTGTCTTTCCCCATCCTGCATGGTGCTTTTGGCTACACCAATCCGAAATCCCCGCGCAAACGGACGGCTTTCGGCGGCCTCCCCTCTTTTCGCATAAGCGGCTCCCATCCTTCCGCGGCAACTAACCTACCTGCCGGCCGGCCACCACCAGCACCATGCTGCTGAGTGACAACCCTCAGGCAGCGCCAGCACTGCTCTCTTCGCAGGCCACGCACGGGGGCGTTCTCCCCCCGCAGGTCAGGGATGACCCGGCAGACATCAAAACGACCCCGCTTCGACCCCGAAGACTCGAAGACTGTGTCGGGCCATGTGTTGCTTCTGTCTGGATCTAGGACAGCGCATGCGCTAGTGCATCATCTCTGCTTCTTGCTGACACGTCTCACCACCCCAGGAGTTGCCAGAAGATTGTGAAACAATCCATTGAATCAAAGTCCAACGACTCTGTTTGGACCAATGTTCCTTCCTTCCAATGGTCCAATGGTCCAAACAAGCATGCGCTAAACAAAGCAACGAGCACATCAGGGTCTGCGTCCTTTCGAGCACATGGAGCAACTCCTGTTCGTGTGGGCTCTGAACCGTTCGGGGCCGTCGCTTGCGGTGGAAGGTCGCGAAAGCGGTGGAAGGTCGCTCCTGGCGGAAGGGCGGAAGGGCACTGGGCGCAAGAGACTTCCTTGGGCTTGGATGGTTGAGGAAGTCCAAGTTGAAAGGAAAACTACTACTAGTAACTAGTAGCTCCTGGCATGGTCTTTCTCGGCTTGCACTTTTTGTGGGAACCGAGGTGCGTTGTTCTGACAGTCAACCTCTCAGCGGACTGTCGTTCACCAATGTTCTGCAACTCTTGGGCCTTCACCCCGTGATGGCCAGAAATTTGCCGCTCATGCTGATCCCAAACCACGTAACCAGGCAGGAGCGACCTCATCCCATCACACCACCTGCGCGGAACAAATCACAAATCAAACAACTCACTCACTCACGAACGAACGAATGAAGCAATACAAAGGAGCTTGTGTTAAGTATCGTACATCATCTCGTAGAGGAATTAATTATAGCTATCCAGTCGATGTTTCCGGGTGGAGCTGCATTCGTGCCCCTCTACTCCCCTCCCTGAGCCGAAAGAGAAAAACCATGTCGCCAACACCGGCGGTGGATGGCGATGGGAAGCCCCACCCGCGTCGCGCAGCTACGGTGGCTCAAAGCTTGTAGCGTTCAAGTTCTCCGTAGTTCACCCCACCTCCAAGTGACTTGCTCCAACCCTCCCATCCCGACTCTCCACTCAGCTCCCTCCACCCCAGTCTCCCCGGTCCCGGTGCCCCACCGGTCCCACCAGGGCCTCCAGAAAGACGGTCCCGGCATTGCCGACCGAGGTGGCCCAGCCCACGTGGCCGTCCGAGCGGCACTTGCACTTCAGCCGCAGGAGGCCAGACCTGCGGAGGGAGACGACGGTCTTCGGAGCCGTCTGGACCGTCTTGGCAGGCGGAGGGGTTGGAAGAGGCAGCAAGTTTGGGAGTCTGAGAGTGTTGGCAGGTAGGGGGTATAGAACAGTTATACTCGAGTTAGTATGTATATGTGTACAGTATATGATACGTTGAAGCCTAATTTTGAGGGCCGAATCCCACTTGAAAGAACATATGCGAGAACAAAATTGCAGGTTCGTAATGTGGACTTGTCCATCTTTCCGAAAGCCAGCAGAGACCCTCATGGCTCCCATAAGCAGGGTATGAGCTTGCAAGGCTTCGTGGGGAACCCAATCGGTTGAAAGACGTACATGTTTCAATAAGTTCAAGACGGAAAAAAACACATTCTCATTTGCCCACCAATTTGATGGTTTCCAGCTCAAGTTCCAACCCTTTTGGAAAACATCTGCCAACCCTGGCGACCCCTGAAATGGCTCACGTTCGATCTGGCTCACGCTGAAGATGAGCAGGCAAACGGGGTTGTTTGGAGGAGTCACCAGGAAGGGGAAACACCTGGAGTTCGAGCCGGACCCGAAGCTGATCAGAGCTGTCGTCTCTTGAGAAGAGAAGAAGGGTGGGATCGTGAACAACAACCCATCTGAAATCATCTGAAGATGTATGATGATGTATGTCATTGGGATGACCTGTTCTGAAGTTTTTTTCATACATTTTTTGGACCAAGAAAGTTGAAAGCGCCAATCACATCCAATCGCCCCCAAGCACATCCAATCACCAGCACGTCTTAGGCCCAGATGCTTCTCTTTCTTGGGCCACACCCACACGTCCACCAGCTCCCCCAGCTTCAGCTTCCGCGGGGTCGCATCCTTCCTGGGTCCAACGCAAAAAAATACCACCGACTTGGTAGGTGAGTGGGCCCTCATGGTCACTTTTGGCATGGCTAATTTGTGTCGTTTCGCCTGTTGACATTGGCATGTGACACATTGCAGGCCATAAAAGCAACCATCTTCGAAGCATGCTTCGAAGACAGGGCCATCTCAGCCAAACCAACGAGCCAATGAGAACGATTGACCGACGAACGTTCATTGCTGCACTGGTGAAGCTCGACTTCCAGTCCTTTCCGTTCGTTGTTGAGAGAGGCCGAAGAGAGAACGCAAGTGTACTTCACCCCCATCTCATGTTCCCTTCCGAGCCACGCCCCAACTAGTTATGTCTTATTATTACCTCCCCACCTCCAGCACAACCCCTCTCCATCCCGGGCCATACCATACTGCCTCCCCCACCGCCCCATGGGTGGCCCTGGCAGCTGCTTGGCAGCTTCCTTGGCCTCCGCGGAGTCCAACTCAAAGGTCTCCGTCATGATGGTCTCCTGCCCACCGAACCCCCGCACCGAACCCCGGCCCATGGGATGCCGCGAGCGGTGCGATGCTCCAGCGTGGCGAGCAAGCCAACGGTGTCGAAACGATCAGGCTGGAAACGGGAGGCAAGCCGGTAGGGTTGCACTGCAGGAGGGCATGAGGATGACTGTGTAGGGCCAAAATCATGCCAAGTCTACACTTAAATACATCACATATGATGGAAGTGCATGGCCCACCCTGTTCGTAGAGGAAAATTGTCATCCAAGAGTCGATTCTCATCCATTTTCCACTTCCAACGAACGTAAGTAGGCTTGTCTAAACGTGTAGATCGTGTACACTGTATACGCCGCGTTTGGGCAGTACACCGCCCCTCTCATCTTGGCAAACATCCACCAGACTTTCCGGCTCCGTCTCCAGGCCCAGCGCGGTCCTTGACCACCTTGTAGACCCCTGCGTAGTCCTTCACGAACGGTGTTCCACCATTGCCTCCGCCCATCTGGACCGTTTGGACCCCGACCCCTTCTGACCCAGCGGCTCATGGCCCGTGGCACTTGGTAGAAAGGGGCGGCGAATCCCCACGTGCGCCATAGAGTCAGAGAGCCTGTGAATGGTGGTCTTCAAGTTGCCCCATCACGAGCCCGCCGCAATTCCTCACTTGGTGGCCGAAACCCAAGTGACCCTTCGTGCGACGCTCCTGACACTCTACGCCCAAATGCACTACATGCCTCACCGTTTCATGTGGTGTCATTGGAATTCCGTCCTGTAAGGAAACCCTCGTTGGATGTCGTATATTAGAGACGCAGAGACAGAGATTCCTTGGAGTCTTGGACCAAACTGGAACAACATTTTACCTTGGCACCAGTCGAACTTGGACTTGTTGACTCATTATGGAGATCTTTCACAATTTGACCATCCATGTACGTACCTACGAAGCCTGTCTGTGAGGCTTTGTTCATCAACAGTCAACACGCATGATCTGTCAGATGCGCGCCTGCCACAGTGACCCAGCCCTCCTTGTCATCCTTCATGGTGCGGCATCGTGCTCGCACCACTTCCTCAAGGGATCTCAATAGGCGGATGCTGGTTGTGCCGACGGACCGGGAGCGTTGGTTCTTCAGGACATTCGTGCGGACACTGTCAGGGTGTGGAGAAGTTGACCACACGGCCATGAGATGCCATGAGCATTTTGATACACAAACGTTGAAGTTCACCGCTACCCCAATTCAATACCACCTTCTTGCTTGCGGAAGTTCGTTTCCGTCGCCTACCGTCAGCACGACCCGTGCCGAACCACCAACTCAAGCATCTCACCGTAAAGCCATGGCACCATGGCCCCTACAGTGAGCCCGCAAAGCTCGACGACCAACCCTGACATCCCCTATGAAGATTTATGAAGCACCACCCCAAAACCTTCAGCTCGTTCCCCAAACCCCACCCAAATCTGGTCCAACGATGACACGCAGAAAGGGTGAGAAACATCCATCTTCCTTGGAACCCTCCCGAACCAACTCATCACGTCGTTGACCTCTGCGCCATTCGTCGCCATTCGTCGCGCAATGTCGCCTCCTCGACCGGGGTCTCTGGGCTGATCAGCTCTATGATCTCGCCCACCTGCAGGTTCCCAGCCAACATCTTTGCAAAACAAGTGCACTCCCTGAAATGATCCAAGGAGTTCACCACCTGTTTGGTCTTCGGATTTCATGGTCATCCTTCCTTTCGGGATCTTTTGGGGTCATGGCATCCACGTGGCTATGATTGTTTCGGGGACCGTAAGCTTCTGATCTTGCTGGGGCCAAGGGTGGCTGGCGGCGCTCACCAGAAGTAAACCGACTTCCAAGGCCCTGCTGGGCAACCTGCAGCACTGAACCAAGTCCAGCCCAAATCTTCTGTTAAGCTAAACAAGGGCCCCTCGGACTCCAAAACAAAGGCCGACTCCAATGGAGTCTTCGGACTCACCGTTCTGTTCGGACTGACTGGAAACCACGTCTCCACCCTCGTCACGTCTCTGGATGGTGGATCGGACTCGGGGAGAACCTGCAGACTCCGCAGGATCTCGGATTTGATGCTCTTCTCTTCAGTGAGCATCGTCTCCTGAGATGGCCGAGACAATGATTGGAGAGGGCCCCAGGCAGGTTTCAAACTAAGGTGACCCATAAGGACCACACATAAGGTTCAAGGGCCGCCCAGCCACAATGGAATTGATTCCCCGAAAGCGGTTCCGCTACCCTTGGACCTTTTTTTCGCGATCTACCCCCAAAAAAAAACATGAATCATCGAGGCCCGCCTTGGAGTCTCATCTCGAGCGACTCTTCCTGTGCTGGCCTACCCACCCTGAGAGTCCAGTCATGACTCATGTTACCCCCTACCGTCCCAGGTGGGGCAAATGAGTCAAAATGGAAGTTCCGGGCTATCCGCTTTGATCACTTGGTCCCATCTACTGCAACCACTGTAAAACAAAGTCGTCTCCTTCAAGACCTTCTTGTAGACTCTTATGAGCCCCATCATCCGCTCCTGACGTGCGCAGCGATCGGAGTGGGGCAAGCTAAGTGCTGAGTGCCCCCCCTTCCCTGCAAACAGGAATAGCGCATGGCTGGTTCATCCCTGGCGATGCCTACTCGGGGGGAATTGAGAACATGCACATAAATGTGCCAAGCGACCCTCCCCTGCTTCATGTTCCCCATCCAGGGCAAATCACTTCTCTTGGGTAACGTCTGTCCATGTAAAAGAACTGAATGATCATCATGCTGCTTAACTAAGAACCTCTCTCATCTCTCATGTAACAGTCCACGACTTCCCTGATTCCTATATGGCTTCACGAAGACAACAAATCCGGAGTTACAGCACCACCATGCACCACCATGAACATAGACATCCAGTTCCTTCTTTTGACCCAAAGGCATTGATATCTTGATTTACCATGATTTACCTATAGTTGTGTACTATATAACTACTGCTTTCTTTCAGTCTTTTCGCGTCTTTTTCATTGTGTCTTCCCTCCAATTCCGCACCAAACCGCTCGCTCGCCCGCCTCGGAGATGCCCGCGGAGCGCTCGGCCAGGTGCTCGAAGAGCCGCGTGAGGTCCTGTGTTGCGGTCGCGGTCGTGCGCGGGGAGGCGGTGAACTTGGCTGAAAAACAGTATAAAACAGGATGAAACAGTCGTTTTTGGAGGTGTTTTTGGTGGGGAATCCCGGAAATACAGGTGAGAGTGAGGATGGAAAGCAGGATGTATGAGTCATGCATTGGTCAGCAACTTGGCCTGCAAAAAGGGAGGACCCCTGGCCACAGCCGGCACCGCTGCCACGACATCCCAGTTGCGATGCATCACAGCTCAAATATACAGGTGTGTACGTGATGTGGGTACGGCTCGCAAACCACATGAAGAAGGAAATACACCGGCACCACGGAAAGGGTGGCGAATGGATGGAAACTAATACATAGAGAGGGGGCGTCCATCAATAACTCAGTAGACACAGGACCAGGATGGTTGTGAGCACGTCTGCAGGTGGCATTCTCACCGGAAAATGGCCGAAGAAGGGCCTGCGCACTGGGAGGCGTCGCCTCCTCCTCCTTCACGCCTGATTTGCGAGTCCGCGAGGGCCACCGTGTCTGTCAAAGCCATGACATGGCCAGGACACCTCTTGACGAATACATCCACAGGGATGTTAGAACAGTAGGCCCCTCTCTGGAAGGGCCCCAAACGATGCTCTACGAACAAAAGGGTGTTTCTTCCAGGTTAGAGTCGGAGAGCGAAGATGCATGAGGAACTCATGCAGTCTCACCGCTCAAGTTAAGGTAGTCTTCGAAGGGAGGCTCAACATGGCATTGGCATGCATTGGCCATACTATTGGCCATATACAGTATAATTCGACCACTCTGCTCGTGAGAACCGAACTCCACGTGAGGCATCAAGTCAATCATCCCCTTTACAAAATCGCATTGAAATCCGTTGTTATCATCAGTCATTTGGCCTTGCCGGACAATTGTGACAATTCCACCGCCACACATGTCATCTAAGGGGTTTGTTATTGCTGTAGGGTTATATACCTCGGAAAAAAAGACTGGCATATGCTTTCATCGGTCCAAGTCGCAGCCCTTGAAGAAACTGAGAAAGGCTTTCCTCATGCCGGCGCGCTGCGGGGTTTCCCGCGGGCAAGACCGCGGCGAAACAAACCCCCATGTGGGCCACGTGGGCATCGAAGACAGAAGTGTGGCTCAAACAAGCTATGAGGAAATAAGGAAGCATAGCATAGCACAGCAATTACCCAGTCTGGAATGAAGAGCAGCATCACTGCATCACAGTATCCTTCATTTCACCTGTCTCACCAAGGCATGCCCCATAACCTACCACAACCACATTCAACTACCAGGTCGGCGCGGCATGTGAACCACTCAGTCGCTTTTCCTTGCTCAGAGTAGTGTCACCATGCATAGATTGCATCGTGCCCCTCCAAACAACACCCCAATTTCACCCTCAGTCTGCTAGAACCTCCACCGTGGAGTGCTCACATCCTGCTGGATCCAGCAAAATGATGCAGACTCCTTCTTCCACTGGCAGCCGGAGCTCTTCTCCACTGCCTCCTTGTTCTGCGAAATCTCAGCAAAGAAATCTTCAGGAGACCTGGGCCGGAAAAAGATGGGGGAAGTTGAAATTCTGCCATCCCAGACAGTGACAGCCAATCCTTCTGGGATGGTGGCACAGGAGATGTAAACCCAATGAACAACTCGATGATCCAACTACGTCAGTGCTGCAAATGCCGGAAATCGTCTCTCCCACCTGCGAAGAGGAGCCTAATCAACGAAACTGCCCTGCTGGGGCTCCAACAGCTCTTTGCTATTCTGATGATACCTCATCAAGGCCTCAGTCAGACATTCAGTCAGCATCTCATCTCGTTTGGGGGAGCGCCACTCCCAGATTCATCGAGACCCGACGGTCCAAGACAGCCGACGCAATCGGAACATCGGACATCCGTGCGACGGTCCCAAATCCACGGCGAGCAGTGAATCGGTCAGGCTTTCTATGTAGCGGATGTTGGGTGCCTTTCCCAATTGGGCCATGGTCGCAGTTCAGTACAGTAGGTAACAAATAGAGTTGGGCCCATCAAGTGCATGTGGTAGCAAACAAGTCTTCCTGCACTCCTTTCATCTTTCACCTTACTCTTCTTGACTCACCCGCCCTTCTGCAGCTTGAACCGCCCCGATACAAATCTCTCCCCCCATGGCCCAAATCTTGCGGCAAGGCCTTTTCCGCGCGATGTGGGCTTTTTCTGGGGCCTCCCACCAAAGCTTGCTTCTCCAACTCGGCGAGCTCTTGCTGAACCTTCTTTTTCAGATCGGCTCGGCTCTTCCCCAGCCTTGGCACCGCTGGAATCCAGGAACATCCTTCACCGCCGCCCCAAACTCGACTCAGGTCCCGTTTCACGTCCGGTGCCATCGGCCTGTGTCTCGTTGAGTCTCATTCATTGGTTTCAACCTCACCCAGATTCCCAAGATTCCCAAGGTGGTTTCTCCCATGGTGGCCGGGTTCTCTGTTCTCTTTAGAGCAGAAAAACCATCACCGCGCCGCATCACCACACCGCATCTGGGCGCATCTGGGCTGTCCCACAGGTTGCTCATGCGTTGAAGCCGTGGTTCGAGCAACGTGGTCTTGCTGTCCTGCCCGGTGCATCGCCGCTCGGTGGAGTCAACGATTGGCTGCATCCCCCGCAAGGAGCATCGATGATTGGGCGAGTCATGCCCAGCGCAGAGCAAGGCAAGGGAATGAAGATTCACCTCCCCTGGTCCTCACAAAGACCAAGAAAACTCCTTTCCATCGGCCATCTTGATTATCTTTTGATCTTGGACCCCAGGCGGGCCCACCAACAGAAACCATCATGGAGTCCACTCACATTCTAGCCACCCTGGCCGTGCAGTCCAGCTGTCGGCAGTGCATGGTGAACCAAGTAGTGACTTCTTCGTCAATACCTGCGCGATGTGGGGCGGTCGGCGGCGACAGGAACCAAGGTTTGCCCATGTTTGCCAGCATCAGGGTCTACTTTGCGACGCGACCACCTCCATCCCATCCACCGTCACCTCCATGTTGGCCTCTTGGCGCATCACAAAGAATTGACGCGTGGCATTCTAAGCCATCTCACGCCAGACGACCGGCCAACGCAGCGGGCTTCCTGACCACCCCCCCCATGAACATCACGTTCGATCTCCGCCCAACCAGCGCAGAGCGCAGCGACCCGGGCGCGACCCGGGCCACTGGTGCCTTGCTTCATCTCAGCTACCTCCAACTTGTAGCCGCTAATCAGCTCCTTTAAGCTGGAAGCCTGGCTCCACACAAAAAGCACGAGGGAAGCGCCCCCAGACCCCAAGGCGTGTGCGTGACAGCGCGCGAAAAAGGAACGTGCTGTAAACTGAGAGCACGGTGTGCACGGGTTTCCTCGTGCGTGTCAATGAGTCAAGTGTGAGATCACATGAGTGCATGTCTGTTGGCCAATCTTGATCTAGAATCTAGACATGAAGACATTAATCAAACGTTAAGCAATAGCCATTTCAGAGGTATGGGAAATTGTCGGTCAGTTCAAGCCACTCCAAGGCGCACGCACCGCACCTGCTCTTCAAGAGTCTCTAAGAGCTTCTCCATCTCTAAGGACTTCATGCTCCTTAACCGGAAGACGCCGCTCTTTCAGCTCTCAAAGCCGCTCTCGCATGTCAGGAAGCTTTTGAGGTGTCCGGGAGAGTGGTCCGAAATCCATCCGTGTTGCCTAGCGAGGGAGGCGCACTGGAGGCAGCCATGGTCTCGTCTCGTCTGGAGTCTTCCATGGGTTTTTGGCATGTTTGCCTCGTGCTTTCCCAATTTTACCAAGGTCGGATCTGTCTACTTTTTGGTGCCCCCGCGGTCCCCGATTCCGAAAACATCAACAGCTGAGTTGCTTGGTATCAAAGAGCGGCTTGATGGCTTCTTCCAGCTCCACCACCTGGCGGTCACTGCTCTCGACCGGGCCATTCAACCCACCGCGTGCGCACGCGAGGTCTGCGAGCGTCGCCTTCTCGTCCACGGAGGTGTACTTCGTTTCCGCCTCGGCCACCTGAACAGCAACGCGCTTTCCCGCAGAGTGATGGATCGAGGTGCTGGCTGAGAGGTGCTGGGATCATGGAGGAGCAGTAGATGGCACGAGGTCCAAACACATCCATCGCAAGGGTGAAAGAAACATGGAGATGCCTTGGTGATGTTCACTGACCACTTGAGATGTCATCGATCCTTGAGCACTCTGAAGCCCAGTGTCAGTCTACGTTACTTCACTTTTCCTTGGGGAAGGAATGGCTCTGCCACAGGTTGTGATCCGTACTCGTCCGTCTTGAGTCTTGACCCACGAGCTTCTGCATAAAGAAAGAAACTCATCTGGCCGTGCCTTCTGTTGAAGCTCTTCCTTGAGATGTTCGATCTCTTTTTCATGCTCTTCGCGCTTCTTCTTCCGCGCCAGATCCTGTGGAGCCGGCCCATGCCATGTCCCAACACCCCAGGACACTCCAGGGCCCCCCTGAAAAAGATAAACCTGATTGGAAGCAGCAATCCATTCCTAATCGAGACAAACCCCGATGGTTCAACAGACTTCCCAAACCCAAAAACGCATTCATGTCATGATCGGGTCATGACTCATAAACATTTGCTGAGGGAGTGAGGGAGTTTGAATGCAGCACGAAAAGGGTGCACGACAATACATAGAGAGAGAGAGAGAGATATATAGAAATATACTTATTTCGTCTATTCAAAGCGAAATACAACAAACCATAACAAACCAAAAACATCCAAAAACCAGGAGATTGGACCAGTGTGTGGTCTTTTTTCGGGGTGGCATAGTGTGGTTTCCACATCTTCAATCAATAAGCCGAACCCCCATAGAAAATCCAGCAAACGAAGGAATTCCAATGAATTCCGGCAATATGTCGCATAAGGGCTTCCACCACACAAGCGCAAAAAAAGCGCGGAAGAGCAGTCCTTCTGCATCTCGCGCGCGATGCCGATCCTGAGGGCGGATTGGCCAACATCCCAAACCTCTGACTGTAAGTGAAAAAGTGATGATTCTCCAGCCATCCAGCCTTGACCCAGAGTTGGCGAACTCATTGTGGTTTCGAGGTCTCCGGTCGTGTCACGATCGACGCTTCAACTGGTAAGGCCTGATCGGATGGGCATCGGATCGGATTTTCTGGGCCACCCAGCTGGATGGTGAGGCGATGGAAGTCTGCCTTCTCGACACCTTTCTTCTCATCTTTGCCCAAGCCCTTCATGATTTTCACCATGCGGGCATCCTCAGCGGGTGGACTGGGACGAGTCAACGACGGCGGCACCGGGAGCCGTGCTGTGACCGGTGGATCGTCGAACAAACCTGCGGGGTGACCTGAATGTGACCTGTCAAACACCTCCACAGGTGGAGTACCGATCAACAGGTGGAGTACCGATTCGGGAGTGCCCGGAGTTCGCCCCACGCTGGGATCTGGCGGTCCAAGAAGTTCTGGGACATCAAAGAGGGAAGAGTTTAGGACATCAGGATGCCCCACATCAAGGAGAGAAGAGCTCCGGCCATGCGGCGTGTGCAACCCGCTCAAGAAAGAAAACCCGACGGATCCCCAGACTTTCTTCTTTGACCGATCGGAGGCCAAGGAGCAGGTAAAGTGATGCCGAACTCCTGCAGGATGCAAAGCGTTGGAGAAAGCACGAGATTCGGCGCCAAAGAATCTTAATTCGTTTCTGGATCTAGCTAGAGAGAGAGAGAGATTGGATTGTGCTACAGCCACAGCATTGATGTACACTCAGTACGCTGGCTGGCTCGAGAAACCACCAACCCACGGAATGTTCCTGTGTCTAATCTTTTTGCCAGCGTGTCTGGATGGCACATCAGGAAGACACAAGCTGTGTGTGTGAGAGAGAGAGAGAAGAAAGGAGTGTCTCAATGTTCGCTTTGGAATGTTTTGAGTGTGTTAGTTTGGGCGGGGTCTTGCTGAGCTTCTAAGACCCAAATGAATCCAAATGACACTTCTCACGGACGCATCTCACCAAAGCAAGTATTCTCCGGTGCAAGCAGACCAATTTCGTTTCACTTGGAAATGGAGAACAGCTGATTTTCCAACTTGGTACCACGTGGAAATCATGCAAGTGCAAATGGCTTTCCAAAGACTGCAGGAGACTGCAGAACACTACAGCGCCACGCACACCACCGACTCGACGGCTGATTTTTCCATTCTCTTGTGTCAAGCAATGTGCATGGGACAAACCAGCTTGGCTTCACCTCCCCAATAATGGCTGGCCATCCATCTTCACGTCAAACTAACACCAAATCCCTCTCCTTCTTGGCATAACTTCTAATCTCGCTCTTGTCCAAATGATCATCCTCGGCCACTCCACGGCGCGCGCGCGCGCGTTGTCCGCAGTTGGACCCAGACCACTCGGACCGCGCGATGGCCGCAGGGGGGCAGCCACGGCGTCAGCGATGGCGCCATCTGGGGCTCCAAGCTTTGTTGAGGTCGTGCCTGGCCGAGCGATGAGGCTGCGGTCGCGCAGCTGAAGATGGACAATCACGGTGAACACGAAAGCCGAGGGTTCATGGAGACCATGAATGACTTAAGGAAATATAGGCCTTAAAATATGTCCATTCCTTAACATCTGAAGACCTTGGATGGCTCTGCTCACTCTGAGGTGGCGGCTTTTTGAATTTCAGCATTTGCACGTCCATCTTCTTTTTTGCCTCCGCCTTGCGGAAGAGCTTCTCCTCAGGTGATCTGTAAATGTTGATCATGGGGTGGAACTCCTCAGGCTTGGGTGTTCCCGGAAGGTGGGTTTTGCAGTCCAAGGCTGTACAGTACGGGGGTCGCGCTCATGAATTTCCACAGCCCCCCCCCGCGAGGTTGTTTCCTCAGCGACAAGCTGCGGAGTGTGGGGTGTCCCACCAGTTGGTCCCTCCTCATTTGCCTCCCAAACATTTGGGCGCCCATCCGCAGCTGGGCTCAGTGAGCTGCGGCGGTCCTTGCTGGATTTGATGCCATGGATCAGCATCTCCTGCCGGTCCAAGGGGGTCGCGACTGGCTATAGCCATAGCTGTGTCCCAACACAATTCTTGTAGGACATGTGGTGCACAACACCACCTACAACTCTCACAGTCTCCCACTGGTCCCACTACATACAACTAATTACGTGCAGCTGGCAACGAACCGCCCAGAACACACCGGCAAATGTGAATCTTTTGGTCCCAGCACTCCAGTCACGACTGGGGACAGGTCTGTGCAGTCTAAAGGAGGGTGACAACCGTCATGGGTTCCGACCTTGAAAACACCTCTGTTACACTCTGAGGCCCATGGTTTTGCAGGGCGTTCAGCACATGAGAAAGGCCGAAGTAAAGTGGCCCATCCGATGACCCTAGGGCCGAATCAAGTCCCGCGATCATCCCTCAGGGGGCTGAGGTGATGCAGCATTGCATCTCACTTCTGTGTTGCCGCTGTGTTCTATCCGCTGGTCACGGTCTTTGGGTACGGCCTCTAGGGTGGATGGGGTCACGACGGAACCCATGAAAATGCCGCTGAAGGCATATCGTGGCATGGTAATTCGCGGCTGAGACTTATTCAGCCGACCGACTTTGGGCCATTCAGGACGGTCTCATGTCGAGGCTCGCGTCAAACGATCTTCGTCGTCATTCGCATTGCACCTGTGCGGTGAAGTGGGTGTGAGAAACATGAGTGTGCGTGGAAAAGTGTCTCTCCTTATCCACACTTTTATGTATGGCCAGGTGGGGTGCTCCCTTCCTAGGCTCATCAAAATGAGCGCGCCTACAAAACTAATCCGCAATCCTGCTAATCCGAAAAAATGCTTGTAATCCGAACAATCCTTAATCCGCAGTAGTCCGTAATCCTTACCCAGCCTTACAATCCGTAATCCTTAAAAGCTTTAGGAAGGAAAGAACCCAAACTCCTGAATGAGGGGCTGTTGGCTTGGATTTATAAATCCAATGTAGGAATCCTCACAGCCCCGATTTGGAAGCAACCAACTCAAACCACT